GGCGGGATGGGGTGGGGCGGTAGAACTTGCTCGCGCCGTGCCGTGCCGTGCCGAGCCGTTCCGTGCCGCGCCGCGCCGTTAAAGCAAATAAGGCGCGCTTTACGGCGCGCGCCGCGATCGCCTGGGCCGGGCGCGCCGCGCGGCGAGATGGCCGCAATTAAAATCGCTATTAAACGCCAGACAATGCGCCGGCCGCAGGTGGCCGTTGCCGCGGGGCAGGTGCTGCCGCGGTGCGGCGAGCCGCTGCGGCGCGCTCTGCTCCCGAATGGGCGAACGAGAACAAAAAATCGTTTGGGAGTCGGAAGCGGAATTGGCGGGAAAAAATCGACGGAAAAAAGAAATGAGTATTATGGTTCTATTTACGCAAACAGAGAGAAATTTAAATGGTCCTTTGCCTGGAAATAGGTAAGAGTTTTTTTAAAAAAAGGAAGATAATTGCTTTGCAAGATATTGACCAATCAGTACGAAAAACTAACGTCTCAAAATTCTAAGTTTTGGGATACTGCTGTTTTAAAGTTTAATAAAGCTGTGTAAAGCTTAATAATAATATCACTTAAATTTAAAGTTTATTATTAATTGTTATTATTCATTTTGGACTCTTATATGACATAAATTTTAAATTCAAATGGTTTACTTGTAAACCAACTTTTTCACGATATTTAAAATTAAAACGTCAAAATCTCAAAACTCAGAATTGGGAATTTTTGCCTTATGCAAAAGGCCCTTATGCATGGTTGTATTACAGAAATAACATTTTGATTGCATTCAAGTATTGTAAATACAACGATTAATGAGTATGTAAAACGAAAAATTTGGAGGTAATGAAATAGCCAGAGCACGTAATTATTAGGATACGACGAACTTAAATTAAAATTCATGTTGTGTACTTTGTGTTCTGTGCAACAGCGGGGCGTGTGAAGCGACTTTCCAGCGAATCAAATTAAGGAAATAAGCTCAATTGCAACGGAACTCTCAAAAAACAAAGTTACAAACGACTCTCTTCGATTTATATTGTTTCATCTGTATTCATTCACGATATCTACTCAATTTTGACGTCAGTTGAAATGCTTGTTTTGAAATAAAATTGTTTGTATTCTTTGGCTAGATTTTCCCCTACAGTGCCGTTGGGGGCGTCGCCGCCTTCGACGCTATAATAGTTTCGGCTTTTACTTCTCTGGTTTAATTCCCTTGCAGCAGAAGTTGAGCTTTATCGCGCTCTACCAGTTATTGTGGGTGTAACCATTCAGAAAGATACACGTCTATTAATAGCTCCAGTAGTCCCATTGTTTCCATGTACTTTGGAGCAACAGGGACAACACTGGGAATCAGTCCAAGTGTGCGTCTGCGGTAAAAAACACAACCATTAGAATGTTTGTGAGAGAGGAGTGGCTCTATTTATAATTGAAACTTTCATCAGTTTTTTTCACAATATTGCTAAGCAGGTCGCTTCCGAATTAATTGCCTTTTTATCAATTTTTTAAAAATTATTTTCGGAACATTGCTTTATTAATCTGCTTTGTTGAATCATTTGATATTAAAGCAATTCATTTGTTTAAATTAATGTTTAATAGCAGTTGGTTTGGAAAAAGCACCCAGACATTTCGTGATTTGTAACTCTTTCAGATTGGTCAATAATACATATTAATAATGCGCAACAGCAAAAATGCTGCTTAACAAACAACACACTCAGGTTTTCCAAAATGTAGCACGCTCCCAACTTACACGCAACAAATACAATACTTTCGAATAACAATTCAGTTAATTAAATATATACACAAAAATGGTCTTCACGAATACTGCAATAAACTAGTGTAATATGTCTGCTGTCCGACAGTTCGTAGAAACAATAAAAAAAGTTGCTGTTCCGTAACGTAACGAGTGAATAGCAAATATTTAATAGCGGGTCTCTTCCTTGGAGACTTGCAGTCGTATGACGTTAGCTGCGTCATCAGCAGTGACGCACTGAGTATGAAAATTCAGTCTGTTCGAGCAGTATGCGAGTAGATGTAATAACACTGAAATATTTCCATTGACAGTCAAAATCGAAAGCATTTCATTGATTCTGGATTTTCTCCGAGTTTCGGGGTAACAACGAAACCATTGACATGTTTTATATGACCGGGAGCTGCCTTGTTTTGTTCAGTTCGTAAGGGCCTTGGAAATTAGTTATATATACTATTTTTCAATTTATATTATTAAATACTCATTAATTAAGGCCTTCATAAATAGTTTCACTGATTATTCGTCTTACTTTTGTATATTTACATGACATATCCATACGTAACAATCCAAGGCACAACATTCAGAATTCTTTAAGTTCAGCAGCCCTTTGTGGGTTCCAACTAATTGTACTTTCTTTCAGGTACCGCATTGTTCCATTCACCCAATTTATTTAGTTTCCAGTTAATTATTTTCCTTTCTATGCACCAAGCACACACTTTCTCTCCCCCTCCCTCTGTTCCTCTCTCTCTCTCTGTCTCCAATATCCAATTGTCGAGAAGACAAGGTTCACTTTTCCTTCCGAAACAAAAAGACCATAAATCTCCAAATCAGATATTGTTATCTATTATCGGAATCGATTTTGAATATTTTTTATGAGAATGTTTTCATCCTCTAACTCTGGCATCGTACGTGTCACAGTCGCCTATCACGTCTCTGTCACGAGGCTCAGATGCGTTGGCCGGCGCCACTGCTGCTTCATTGCCTCCCGTCATATCTGATTCACATCATGGCATCTACGAGGTTATTTGTAAAATCAACTGTAGTTGAAAAACAACGAACTAAGAGGTTAATTGTGATGTACTCTTATTTACAGAATGTACCAATCGAGAAAATATTTCAAATGGATATATGCAGACATCGAAGTACATTTTTAGTATAAGAATCTTTTCTTTCTTGTCCGAATCCACGAAGTACTGTAAAGCATGATCATTGCGATATTCACTGTTTTACACCCTTTGCACTAAACAACAATTGCAGGGCAATTACGTCATCGCTCTGCTGCAGTGCTGCTCTTCACGGGCGAGGGGAAACGACCAAACGACCAAAGGAAAGTGAGACAGTGCTCATGTTGGTATGTGGAGTGAGACTATCGACGGGCACGTTATTAAACTATCGAGGTACTGTCCTGCGCATCCGAAAATCACCAGAAAATATGGGCGTTTCCGTCTACTTGTTCCATCTGTCAAAAATAGTTCTTAGCATATTTCATCAATTAAATAAATACTCTACTTTGAACAAGCTGAGCCCGGCAAATAACACATAATAGTAACATCTTAAAACCAATGGAAAGAACGCTTAGTTATTTTCATTTGTTTTTTACTTTGTTGTGCGAATTGCAATCGAACTATTGAAAGTAGTCGTCGTTTCGTCGAGTTGACGTGAGCAAGAGTCTGAGTGTAATGTAGTTAGCGAAGCGAATATTGCGAAGTTTGTAAGTTTGAAAATCAACTTCTGCTGTTTTCTTCTTAGTCAGTTACGTTAAATTTTCACCAGCGAATATTAAAACGAAAAGAAACAATAGAAATGGTGCTATACGAAGATGTGGGTTTCTATCCAAATGATTGTTCTTTGCTTCTTTGCCAGTATCCCAGCCCTAATCCGTTCCTGAATACTGTTCGTTCTCTCCCAAATCAGCGCCAAGTCTCGACGAACCTTATTTCGCCGCTGGAACATCGGGTTGTCTACGAACAGATTCCGAGGGCGGAAGTGCTTCGTCCTCGGGGGCTTTCGCATCGCGGCCACGCGATGGTCGACGCTTCTCGCAGCCACCCCTCCCCCGCCTGGCGTCGGCGGGGAAAGGATCGCGTCCGCCTCCCGCCAGTCATGATCCTCAGGACGAGAGGACGCCGGCCGCGCAGTCGTAATGGCTCCGATGAGGACGGAACGCGCGTGATCGGCGAAAGAAAAATAGCGCGCGAGGCGGAGAAGACGCTTTCGAATGGCCTCGCAGTGCGTGATTTCGGAGATATCTTCCCGGAGTGGCCTCTTCGGTCGGAATGAATCAACTCGGGAGTATTAATGATTTACGAGTATGCAATATTCACTTTCACTGCTTAATGGCCGTTTGAGTTTTATTCAACGAATCGCTCATAAAATTCCTTAGAAAGGAAAACGTTCGCTAATATGTTATACCTTTCACAGAAAGTTTATATCAACTCATTTTTCTAAACAGTTGGGCTTGATGAATAGGATCTTTTGAATTACCTGACAGGTATCTCAATTATCCCAATATAATTCTGTGTTAGATAATCATATTTTGTCTCAAGACTTTTGCGGCTGAAGCCAGTTACTTCACATCGAAGGATAATCATCATACATATTTAAGACATTTACATTTAGTGCATTAAATTTTATAAAATGTATACGAATACTTATTACGAAATGTATAAGAATTGCGAAAAAACATACTTTGAATAGTCAATAAGGTGAAGTATCGGATGTGTCTACAATGAAAGATGAGCATCCCTTCCATTGTTATATTCCTCTATTTTTATTATTTACCTTTTTAATTAAACCAATTAAACGAAAAAAATGGGAATCTTAAATAATAATAATAATAATAATAATAATAATAATAATAATAATAATAATAATAATAATAATAATAATAATAATCGAAATGTCAGTGAAGACAAGGCGTCGGGTATGTTTAAAGCTTACGCAAAGCCTCTGACACTTCATCACGCGTAAAATTTCTTTGAAGCTCCCCGCAAACCACCCTTCAGCGCACTCCTATTCACCGCGCGACGCCGACGCGGCGTCGGCGTCGGGGCGAGCGCTGTCTGCTCGAGGGGGGGGGGCGGCGGCGCTGGCCCGGCCCCTAGCGGCGGCGCGCGCAACTACGCGCCGGCGCGCCGCGGGGCGCCGGCATTCGCTCGGCCGCTGGCTTGCGTGACGGCTGGGCTGCGGAGAGACCGCACCGCGCCGCGCTGCACCTCACGTCTCCGAACGACGCCGCGTCGCCTCTCTTCCTTCGCGTCCGCGCCCGCCGTGTCGTGTCCCCGGCCGCGCCCAGTGTCAGTGACCAGTGCGTCCCCGCCCGCGCGTCCTGCGTTTCCAGGCTCCCGCCGGCGCCCGCCCGACCAGTGTGCGTGCCGTGTAAGTGTCCTCAGTGTTCTGTGTGTTGTGTTTTGTCCGTAGTAGTGTACTGTAGTGGCTGTAGTGTGTGTTGTGTATGTCCCTCGGCACCGCCCCGCCCCCCTTCTCTGTGTGTGTGTGCACACGTGCATGTAACCTCGCTGAGCGCTCTGCGCCGTGCCACGCCGCGCCGCGCTGTGCCGCGCCGACCGCGTGTGAATGTTTTGGAGCGCCGCCCACCCCACCGCACCGGGTCGGTGTCTGCGCTAGATGTATGGTGCGGCTCGCCTTGCCGCGCAGCGAGGCTGCCCTCTGGTGCAAGTGCGCCGCGAGTGTTGAGTGAGTACCTCGCTTAACCCAGGGAAGTGCCGAACGCCCCGTTCCGGCCGGGAGCGGCGAAGAGCCATCAGGCGTCTGCGCTCCGCCCACGAAGGGGATCCTTAACGACTGTTGCACCGGCGACGCCCTATCAAGATACGAATCGGTCTTATCAGCGTCGGGGAGCGACGCCGCTTATCTCAGCGCCGCCGCCGGCGTTCAGCGTCGTCATTGCCTTGAAGCCTACGGCCTCCTCGCGCCCCCGCATCCCAGGATGCGCGTCCTCTAGATCAGCGCTCGCGAGATATGTTCCGGGCATCCAGCGCCAATGGCTGTCTACGTCACGGACCTCATCTCCCCGACGTCGCCGCAGAGCTTCAAGTAAGTCACCTCGCCAGTCAGCCAGCCAGCGCGCTCTCTCTCTCCTTCTCTCTCTTTCCCCCGCGTGCCGCGCCGGCCGCGTGCCGCGGTGCTGGGCCGCATGGCGATGCGGAGAGAGCCCGAGCGAGTGCATGCTGGAGCTGACAGCTGCGGAGAAATTTTTGGATGTTATCCTTTGACCTGGCCCTGACTTACAACCTGGCACCTAGAGTCTGCTATTTGCACCGTTGTCAGCTAACAACTAGATGTGCGTGTAATAAATTCTAAGATAATGTGTTGTAAAAATTCCGTTCTGATGAAAAGATACTTCTGCTGATAGGTGTATGAATGTAATTTACTTCATTGACGATTTTCTAAAGGCATTTGGCGATGTGGAGAGCATGTTGACGTAGTCATATTTTAGACCAAATGCTACATATAATGTTATATTAACATTTTTTAAGCCACTGAAATGTCTACACATACTCATCAAACGTTGAAATTGATTTTCGATGTAAGCTACGATACTATTATTGAATTGTTAAGGTTTTATGTGATTCGTTTCTTCGTACTTTTTAATCCATTATTGCTCATGTGATGGAAAAACCACTTGCGTTTTCGTTCAGTCAGATCTTCATCAAGCAACTGGATAAAATCACTCCAACCCTTGATCAAGTTGTTTTTGTCTTCAATTGCGTCAAACGAAGGAAACATTAATGTTTATAAAAAAATCCAAAATTAAATTCCAACAAGGTACATAAACTAACATTACATTACTGACGTATTCTGCTGAACATTTTAGGCTGCAAATTCCAGTCTTTTAATTTTCTGTTGTTGTGGATGATGTTAATTACTTGAACGAAAATACAGAATATGTAGGAACGAAAACACAGAATACGCAGTGTTTCGGGTGGGATTTACAATCTCGTTTCGTTGCTGAAACTATTTAATTTGCTAATATATGGTGATAATAACATTAAAACTGTAACAATGTTAATAGTCGTTTTTGTGGGTTTATTCGAACATAACAATAAAACTATGGAACGGAATCTGACTTAATAGTTTGTTTCTTGTTTTTATATCTTCTATGAACGTAATGCGTTTGCCTGCGATTTTTTTACCCCTAGAAAAGGCGTGTCGAATCTCACCAGAAACGTGTTTTGCTTGTTCAATGGTATCGTGCAAGTAAACAACCTCGTCCACTGACCGTTGTGTATGTTTTAACTCCTGAAATCATGGATATCGAAATTTCCTATACCACGGTTAAGTAGAATTATCTTCATGAATTTTTATTCGGTTTTGGCTTTTCGTTAACCATCAATTTCGTCGATTATAAAATATAAATTCGTCTCAAACTAGTTATATAAAATATTAATATTTCTTTTAGATGGCGTATTTTTCTAGATAGTGGACAATATTAAGAATGAAAATACTGTTCCATTCGCGTATTACGTGAAAAAGAAAGTGATTATTAACTTTATATTGAAGAAAAAAGAAAGTATTCGTTTAATTGGTAAACTGATTTTACTGAAAGTAGGGTAGAGAAAATCACTATTTCACCTGATAGTACTTTAATCAATTTACTTGTCATTTTTATGTACATATAATTTATTGTAAATTTTATAATTTTTGAATTTTTTTTAATTTCATGCATCAATTTATTTTGAATTAGTCTCAAACTACTTTCGTTTTTATATATTATACAAGATGTTAAATGCCAATTTATGGGGGAAAGGTTCGTTATTTTCTAATACGATTCGTTAGAGAGACTCGGCACTCGGGTGTTTCGAAGCGTGTTTATTGGAGGTTTGTCCTCAACATTTCTCTCGAAACGTTTGCGTGCTATGCTCGATGCCTTCATAAAAGCTTCTCATAATTGCTGGTGGGTCGTACCCAGCTAATGGCGTAGTGTTTGACATTCCCGAGCAATTAAGATTTAATAAATAATGTTGTGGACGTTGTGCTATGATTCCTCTTTGCTTTTCGCTCCACTGCCACCGGAAGGGGTCTCGCGTGTCTACGTCATTTGGGTCGCCCTTTTGGAAAGCGTTATGTACTGAGTTGTGTTTAATGTTTTTAGAAATCGTCTTCGTTCGTTTTAAATGAAGTCTTCGGGAGTAAAAAATGGTATTTGACATTTTGGGGCAAAATCGGGATTGTTTGCGTTAATAAAGAGGGAAAAGAGGAAAAAAATAGGAGCAAAGTTGTCTGTTCAAAGTGACTTGAAAAAACAGCCAATCAAATGACAGTGATTATTCACTCGTACGTTATGGTTTCTGCCTCTCGTGACGTGAAAAATCTCTGTTTCACCTGCATTTCCCGACGAAACTTTAAATCATCCCCTTGATGGGGGTCCTGAGGTTCGAGTTCTGACCGTGTCAGGATTTTCGACTCAAGTTACATAACTAGGTCGAGATCAGCCGCGATATGGAGGAGAATTGTAGCGGTCGGTTGCTCTGTTTGGAAGTTGATCGTGGTTTTTACGATAAATACCAGGTGAATGCCGACGCAGTACCTTAATAAACGGGCTACGGATCGCACGAAGTGATCGCGATATTTCCTTCCCTTTCCTTGCCCTATCCCCACTCCTTACTCTCACATACACTTACCCACTTACCTGCACTATACTATCAGATACGTTGGAGACCAGTCGGGAGATCAGAACATATACCGGCTGGGGTTGGCCTGGAAGGTGGGAGATACCTGGTTGAGGAAAACATTGCCAGCCGAGGGCAGATCGACGTATGTCGTCAGCGCCGGATCTCAATATTCTGCAGTAGAAGATCAACCCCTCCAAACTGGTGATAAAACGTGCACTACATTTATGGGAACACTCCACGCTCCACGAAATAAACAATCACCCGAAACCGTCACACGCCACCAATTATTTCAGACCACCTCAAACTTTAGGTGAATTCGGTCTTTTCGGCTATTCGGGACTTTCCGAGAGCAGTTAGGGGTGCGATGTGCGGGTCCGATTGGGTTCGAACGAAGCAGTGCGGGGCGGGGCTTGGAGGGGGATGGTACGGGAAAGGGAGGGGCGGAGTGTGAAGGGTCGGAACGGGATGGGACGGAGCGGGCGGGATGGACCGGGGGCAGGGAGGAGCCAGACGGGTCGGGAGGGGGTGGGGCGGGGGCAAGGGGAAACGGGGCGAAGTGGTGCCGAGCGGGGTGGGTAGGGGTGGAGCGAGGGCGGACGGGACGGGACAGGGTGGAGGCGGAGCGAGAATGGAGCGGGAGCGGGTGGTGCGGGACAGGACGGGATGGAGCTGGGCGGGGGGAAGAGTGGAACGGGGCGGTGCGGTGCCGAGCGGGAGTTGGGCAGGCGTATAGCGGGGCGCGGCGGGTGGAGTGGGCTTGTGGAAGGAGGGGCAGGGGCGGGTGATTGCAGGGCGAGGCGGCGCGGGCGGTGGCTGGCCGAACCGGTCGGGAGGAAGCGCCGCTGTCCGGCCTCAGCCTCGGGCGACGCCAAGCGGATATGAGCGCTGCGCCCCGCTGACCCCTTCCACCGCCCGCGAGACGGCGCGCCGGCCCCGGCTGCTGTTGCCACGAGAGCGACGCTCTCCAGGGGGTGGCGATCTGTCTCTCCCCTTCCTGGGCGGTTGAATTATTCAGGCCGTTTCAATCGAACGTTTGTTTACGGGTTACAATGCGCACCAAACTCTATCGAAGCGCGGCGGGTTCAAACCCGATCGAAGCCGTGGATTTTTAAGGGCGAAAAAATCCTTCGTACGCCTTCCTTCGGAGGGGAAGTAAAGCCGGCTGTCCCATGTTCGTAGATTTACTTGCATGTAAAAGATCCTCAAGCCTAAATGACGCCTCTGAGCTAAATTCAAAATCGCCTGTTTCTCGCCCAAGAAATACCTCCTTTCTCTCCTAGTTGGTGAAAGGAGCGTAGCGAAATTGCGTGGTCAGACGGAAGAGCGGGCCTGATGGCCCGAGTCTCGCCACGTAAAATAAGGCAAATTCAATTCAATTCAATTCAATTCAAAAAATCGAGCGCAGTGGTGAAAACGGTGCTAATATTTGGGACAATTATAAATGTTATCTCGATTCACAGGACATACATGATGTATTGTACAAGTTGTGTTGAATTAGAATGTATGTGGACTGAGACAACAGTAATTGCAAACTTCGATCTCTTGGGGCAGAAATTGAACATTTGCTATTAGATACTTGGGCTGTGAGCCAACGAGTTAAAAAGATATCAAAATGTTAATATTTTCGTAAAAAACCCCATCATTAAAATTTAATTAAAATAGTTGTAAGGCAAGCTCAATTTAGCCTTCTTTACCTGATAACGCATGTAAATCAAAGCAACCAAAAGAAAAATGGGACACAAAGTTAAATCTTCAGGCGATACACGCTCGATACGACACTAGCTGCAACTTTGTGAATCATCGAAGGGGAAATACAAAACTTGAAAATATCAAAACATTACAAACACATAGGTGAATAAACAATTTGTCTAATTCGATAATGCTGTGAGAAATGTGTATTTACTTTCTTGTCATACCACGTACTTACCATATTACGTATTTTAATACTCCAACGGAAAGTGGCAATTTTTCATCAGAAAAACTATCCCCATCGTATTGTGGGGCCCTAATATCGAAAAGTCTTGTTTCTAGAGTAATACAAATAAGTAAAATGAGGAACTGCAAATAAGTTAAAAAAAGAAAAGAAGAGTCGATCGGGAAAGTATGGGGCGCATGTGCCCATCAGGTCCATGTAGCCGGCGGTGATCCCGCCACGCTGCCGTGCATTGACCGCCCCGCCTCCCCCGCGCCCGCCTACTCCGACTGATCTTCCGTTTCCCTCCCTTAACCCGTTTCAATGACCTAACTCAACAACATAAAATACCTTACATCCTCACCAACCTTTACGACTCCCCCGTACAACAAATACGTAAGTTCATAACCAATCCTTAATTTCGAAACCTCATCCTACCCCATCACCATATCCTTAGACATCCCCCCGGCACACACGTAAAAAACACTCCCTGGACACCCTATATCTCC